AGTTTCGATATCCGGTTAATGTAGAAGACAAATTAATAAACTCGAAACTTGATAAACCCGAACGCCAAGTCGGTACTCGGCCCCCGTATCGGTATACGGTGTCTGCGCGCGAGTAACGCGTTTCCCTCGCCGTGACTGAGAACGGAGGTCGCAGAGCCGTCACCAAATTGTCGGCGGACTAATGATAAATTGTGCCCTCGGCCCTGCGGAAACGCCCCACCCGTACGAGCACGGCGCGCGGGGAATCAAATTGCAATTTGTTATTTGTAATTCCGAGTGTCGCTTAATATACTCCCGGCGCTCCTACATTCCCTCCGCTCGCTCGGGTGGCGCGGAAGGGTTAGAAATTAAGCGTAGGTTGATGAGAAAGCGTGAAGGTGCGTGGCGAGAAGGGGGCGAGTGTCATCTTGTTTGGCGCTAATAAACGGTGATTAACTACGCGTCTTTCATTTTTATCGCGCGCGGACGTGCGTTGCGCGAGAGAGCTGAATAATCGAACCGAGAAATTCAAGAAAGTTGCTCCTTCAGCGAAGGTTTTCAACTTCCGATTGCCTTTGCGAAGATTTCAATCTTTCCCGTTATCTTCCCGGTTTTTGTCTCTCGAGACGATTTGATCGGAGAATTCGCATAGGGAGAGAATCGCCGGCTGAGTAGGCAAATATTCGATTTTGTCTATTCAATTTTCCAGAAAAATGACGCGGCCGTCATCTCGGAGCACCCGCCGCCGCCCTTTCAACCAAATATTATCGCTGGGAGTCGAATGCGCGACTAGAGGGGGTGGGGGGGGCTCGAAGGAAAAGAATAAGTTCGATCAGTCAGAGGGTGACGGTTACCGTTTCGGTTATGGCTTTCGGAAGCATCGTCGAATCCTATTCTTGCGCAAACCCGATAAGAGCCCTTTAACGCGTATATTTTCGCACACGCGTCGCTCGTACCTCGTCGCCGTGTGCGTACACATCTGCCGCGGAGCAGAGATGGGAAGATCGCTAACATTTTATCGAATTATCCAGCGATCGATTTCTCTTTGAAAAAAGAAAAATTGTTTTCCAAAATTTTAATTAAAATCTTCAAAAAGATTATATCATCGGCTTGCGGAGAGAGAAAATTGAATTAACGTAAATTTAACGAGCGCGCGGATTTTGTTAGAAAATATGTCAGGTGACTGCGACGCCGGAAACTGATTTCGCAAAAATATATCGGTTCGGGAATATTCGGGAAAGTGTTCTCGATACCAGTATAAAAGCATTTTTCCGATCCATATGCGCTCGCGTCACGAGAACGGAAAGTCTGCCTCGCGTCGCGCGTGCGATCATCCCTCGCGCGATGACTTTCGATTTTTTCTCACGGCGTATTTTTCTTGAATATACTCCGCCGGATACTCTCGCCCCGAGGGGGGAGGGGGGGGCGAGGAAAGTGCGCGGAGAGCAGAGAGGGGAACAGGAGTGTCTGGCGGCATCGGAGGCTGCGGCGAAGGGCTGGTATCCGCGAGTTTATTTGCGTTTTGCCTGCCGGCTGAGCATCGAGGCGTTCAGGAAAGCCGGGGAGCCGATCGAACGGCGGAGACTTATCGCCGCCGAACCCCCGAACAGAACCGCGCGCTATGCTACGACAATCCTCCCCTCTCTTGTCCCCCTTCCGCACGCCTGCATCTCGCTCCCGTTTTACTCAGCCTCAGGGCGACGATACGAAAAGGGGTAAATCGGAATGGAATTATTTATGTGCGCGCACGCTGTTTCGATATGCTGTCTGATCAATAATATGTCAAAAGTTTCGGCGATCTTCCCGAAGATTTCATTTTGCGGCGCGTTAATCTTGATTTTAACTCGATTCGGATTTCTACCCGGTGAATATCTGATATTTTTCCTTTATACAGTCACTCCTTCGATATATCCCTATTTGAAATATGAGAGAACTCGCAGCCTGTCGATATGTCCGCCCGGTAGACACTTTATCTACTTCTGCATATCGAAGTAATGCCGCTTCGTGCGACGTAAATCCGAATAGCGGATGAAGCTCGCGAGCACACACAAGCTTTCGGGGTTAAGTACGGTACTTTTCGGAGGGTATCGCAGATTTTTTTCTGTTTCCTACGGAACGCAGTCGTCCCGCTACTTCGGCGGGTGAAAGCGGCGACGGGTTAGGGCACGTAAAAAGTCCACGAGGGACTAGAATTGGGGTAAAAACGCCCCGGCGATTCGGCACGGCGTGAAAAAAACCCCCGCAGATTGACTCCATCCGAAACCGCGATAAGCCCCATCACGCTCTATCTTCCTTTCTCTCCGTCCCTTCTCGCCCTCTCGCCGACCTCTGTCTCTCTGTGTATCTTTCTATTTTTTTCTTTTTTTCTGTCGCCGCAGAGAGGTCCCGTAACGACCATCGATAGCCCTTAATCGAACGTTCCGCGGTGCATTGCTGGAAAGTGATTTCTATTTTCCACTGATTCTAATTTATATCGGTCTTTATGGTCGACGACGTCGGCGGAACGCGACGCACACGCGTTCCAAGATTGCAGAGGCTTTCGTGCATGCACGCGCGCGTGCGTCCGCGTTCAAACCGAGGGGTTGGCGCGCGGTTATCTCTCCGTTACGCGTTAGCAGGCATATGCCCCCGATACTGCTTCCCGATGGGGTGGGCGAGGCGCAGGATGCTGGGTGAGCGCGCGACGGCGGCAGGGCGCGGAGGTCGTAATTTTCAGATTTATGTACAAATGTTTCTCGCGCGGACCGGGACGCGCGCGGAGGGGGCGCGCGGCCGTGCCTCGTGGGGAAGATGCCTATCGTAAAGTTTCGCGGAGAATTGAAAAATGCTCTCGAGGCTTTCGCGCGGGCGATGATGGAGCAGCGGGGTGGATCAGCCGCGGCGAAAAGCCGCCCTTACATCCGTGAAACGACGGCGGGGGAAAGACAGCGGTCACGGATTATATATATACGTATCTATTCTATGTGTGTGTGTGTGTGTGTGTGTGGAAATTGCGGTGGCGCGCTTTCTCCCAATGCGCCTTAAGTAATACAAGAAAAAACGAACGAATCGCGCGTAATGATTGTATTTTCGCGATCGGCATGTTTTCTTTTTTTTATTTCCGCGGCTAGTGTTTTACGAGAAATCGTAAAAGTGGCAAGTATAAAAAGCGGTTCGTTAAAATACAAATTGGCGTTACTTAAGCCGTGCGCACATATATATGGCATACACATACACGCACAGACACATATACAAGGCAGCAGCGAAGTACATTCCTCGAGAATCGGGCGAGTCCGTTTCATAATTCAGACCCTTTCTAGGCACCCCTACTTCGCATACCCTCGAACGTCATTTCTGATGTATGACGCATAGTGCCAGTGCACTCAAAGTGCTATTTGTTAACGAACTTCTCTACTCGGGGCTTGTCTTACGCATTACACTTTATTACGGAAACCTAATATGTTCTCCGCTGACGGTATCACTCTGTCCAGTCGTTTGTGCGGTACATTAAATATTAACAAGAGATAGTGTTACGTAAGAATAACATTCAGATATTCCATTTCTTTATATTTGAACATGGCATTTCTGTAGGACAATTTTTTTGCATTTATTCATTCTCAAACGCAAATTTGCCGAGCAATCATCCGTTTGCACTTGAAAAATTCAATAATATTTATTATATGAAATTCATTATTAATAATATTATATTATATTTATTAAAAATTTTCCAATTAATTCACGTTTGCGCAAATAACATACTTGAAATTATATTGGCGACATCGATGCGTTATGCGCATATATCGTCAATTTCATTAGCAAATATCGTTTTGCCGGAGCGCATAACTTTAATTTCTTACCTTGCATATGGAACGCGTAAACAACCAGTTCGGCTAATGGTACGCATCTATATATGATGTACGCTTATATGCGAGGATGATTGGTAGATTTGGTGCGAATCTCGCGGCTTGCGTGGGTCGCGTTGACGAGAAGACAACCATCGCAGCCCGACTTCTCTGTGCATTACACGCTACCGTTCTATTTCCATTCTAACTGCCGTTCCGTTTTAACAGCTACACACGCTCTGTTGAGAGCTTGATGACAGAAAGATCGTTCTATCGTGCGTTCTCGTATCGTTCTATTTAAGCGCTTGCTCCACGAGAATTATTTCCCTTCCGTATTAACGCCGCTATTTCAACATCGTCAATGTATCATCGCAACGCGATAGTTTTATCGCCAATGATACTTGTATATATATTTTTTTTTTATACTTTCCGCACTTAATGTGAAACGAACGCTTACTCAGCGCCCTCGAGGAATATTGCTATGACCGTTCGTCCAAGCTCTCTCGGCAGGCTCGTTCGCTGCGAAGTAGTGAATTAACAAGGCGCGCCGGGCAACGAAATCCGAGGCGAAACAATCCGGGCCGTCGAAACGATCCGGGAGTCATTTGACTAAACAGCCAGTTATCTCGTCGCTTAATCAGCATTGTCTCCTTAGCACCCCCGGAACGCGTAGGTAGGTAAGTGTCCCCTCGACTGGGAGAGGGAGAGCGCGGCTGGCGAGCAACAACGAAGACGGTGTGCACGCCCCCGAGGAAACAATTTAGCTCAATCAACATTTCTAGGCGAGTCTCGGGCGTCGTCTAATTAAACCGCTGTCCCGCGCGAGGATAAAGTCGGAAGTTATCGCCGCCGTCGTATCTGATCCCCCTCGGCCCGGGCTTAATCCAACTGCGTTTCCACTTCGAGCACGAAGTCGCACGGGTGGTAAAGTACGTACGTACATACGTACGTATCCGAACGCCCGCCGCGTGGATGTGGACGTGGTATGTATATACTCCGCGTGTATACACGGATAGGAACTCGGGGAGTCTCATTTCCTGTCCGCGGGGGTCCCGCAGGGGATACATAATTAGCCCGGTTCGTCAGAACGAAAGGAAAGGGGCCATCCGCCGCCGATCTTCCGCCCCCCCCCCTCCTTCTTCCTTCCTCGGCAAGATGCTGCGCTTATCGATTTCTCAAAATAATTCCGACTCCCGCCAGGATCAAATTCCAGCGCGGCTTTGTGCACCACGACGACGACGAAGACGACGACGACGACGACGCGACTCTGATGATTCGCCCTTATTATCGTCGATTCGCCGAGCGACCGGCCAATTTCGGAGAATCGCGAACGATCGAGGAAGCGAGAATGGATCCACGCGAGGTTGGGAGAGCGGATTTCTACCGTGGAAACCACCTCGGATTGTGCAGGCGTCAGAGTCAATTGCAAGAAGCGCGCCGGTAAATTAATCTCAATTGTTGACGGGCCTCGTGTCATTTATCACGACTTATTACGACGAGCGGGGAGGGCGAATGCGCACGGATTGATATAAAGTTAGCTACGGTAGCCTGTGTACGATTGCGTCACAACCGTCGCTCGGATCTATCAGTCAAAACGACGAGGGTCTGAAGAAGTGAGAACGGATTTTAAAAATGCAGGGAAACGAGTGGGCGACGCGCTAAAAAATACACCGGGTGTCGTTTTTTTTTTTTTTCCTCTGTAACTTAATAAAGATTTACAGTTTGTACGTTTTTATGCATTCTTGAGAGTACAACGTAGTGCAGCGTGTCAGTCACTTGATACTATATTCGGTTCGAAAATGCCGATATGATGTTTATGGATTTTGGCGATGGCGTTGCTCTTGTTGTCGAATACCGGCGATTATTTTCCGATAGACAAATTCCGAAGCGGGAAGTGTTTATTAGAGATGCATTCAGTGTTTAGTCAATACAGGTTGGCATACTACACGAATATCGTACGGATACTATCGTCGAGGATCGAATTTGTGTTTACAGAAAAATTTTTTCCTTGTTTTGGATCAAGGAATCCGCTGAAAGTGTTTTTATCAAAAAAATACATAATATAATACACGTGTTCGTAAAAGAAAAATCAATAAATATTAATCGCTCGCGACGGTGTAAAAATTAAAGCTCTCACAGTTATGTCATATTTTCGATGTAACAAATATTTTTTTCTTCTTCGCTCCGAAGTGGAATCGAAGAAAATCAGAAATTAATGTCAGAGGGTCAGGACGTCTTATTTCGCTTGCCCTATTGATGTCCGTGGAATGTCAGGCATCCGCTGATTGAATTCGGGAGGGGGCTTTCCACGGGTTGCGCGCAGTTTGATAAATGTCCGTCTCGCGCTATATGCCGGATAATATCTGTAAGGATCTGTCAGTGAGCACGGCGGATAGGCCGCCCGGCCCTTTTTGTCGGCGACGGCGTCGTTTGTAATTCGAATCCATCGCCCTGTGCGTTTCACCCTACGCGCGAAAGAACTGTAGTTTCGACGCTTGTACCACGTCAACGAAGAATCTCCCGGACTCTCGGAGTAATTTATGATCCCGCCGCGTTCCCGAATTAAGTCCGCCATTTTTCCTCTTTGCCCTCACGTTTGTTTGAATTAGATCACGCCCGCCCTTAATTGACGTATATCGCGAAATTGCATTTCCGAAAGCAGAATTGGAATCGTTCATAATTCAGCGGAATTCGAATTCCGGCGCTGTCGCACTCTACATGGTTATTGACGCAACACTCGAGGGAACGACGCCTTACAATTGCAGCGAGAGAAGTGTCTTTTTTAAGATCGCGTTGCGCGCCTGCAACGAGGACACTCGTTACGAGAGTCGCGGAACCCCTTTCGCCTCAAATGTCACAGTTCTAAGGGTGAAATTTTCGCTCCGAGATTCGCAGAGGCGCGGATCACGTTACAGCCCCTCCTTGCAGATCCAGGTCGTTTATTATTTCGACTCGGTCGAGATATCCGTGAGGAGGCGACCCTCGTGATGTAAATGTACGGAGAAAATGCTTCACCTTCTTGCGCAAAATTAATCCCGTGTATAGAATTAACAAACGGTTACAAAGTCTCACATTAAATTACTATCAACTGACGCACTTTATCGCGTAGACGGCAATTCAATTCGGGAACTGCGAATTGTTTTAACGTGTCCCGGGAGAATTTATTATATGCAAAGTAAGCCGGAATTTTTGTGACGGTGATTAAAAGTTTCATTTTCAATTAGCGGCCCTAAAATATTTTCGTCTCGCCGCGCCGCCTGATAGTCATCGATGTAACAGTATGTCGATCGGTGTTACGACGTTCGGGCGTTTGCGTTACTCGATAACGGGATAAACACGCGAATAATTGGGGATTCGCGATTTAGGTAGGGAAAAAAAACAGAAAAAAAATGTTTACACGCCGCGACATGCGACGACGCGTCGCGATAAAAATTCATTGGCGTATGTGAATGCTGGAACGCCGATGGCACGTGCATCGTTTATTAAAAAAGCTGTTGGACGGCCGCGTCGGATCGAAGAGCGCGGGGACATACCTCCGCCATTTTACAGAGGCCCTTTGTCGTGCCGAAATTACAATTGCTATCGTCATTATCGGATGCGTTATGCGCACGATGCGTTTGGTGGACGCGGAAATCCCTCCCTATTGTTTGTCGCGCGTCCCGTTTTGATCGAAAACGTCAAAGCGCCCGAAAAAACATACGTCTCCCCGGAATGCCGACCGGAAAAATATAGTCGGGGGGGGGGGGGGTGAAGGAATCGGGAAGGGAAGATCATGTGTTATCGAATGTAACGATGCGGAGAGACGGGACGGTAATTTCCACTGCGAGGATCTGTGAGGACTCGCGAGTGCGGTTCAATTTCGCGAAATGATCTAGAATCTTGGCCTCGCTCTCCCTCTTTCGGCCTCCGATACCTCACCGCCTCTTAATGAACTCCTGCTGTTCGAGGCGGCCGTTTCTGAACGCCGGATAGGGAATCCCCGCGGAGTCCATCATTACCGACTCAAAATTAAAGCTAAAGATACAGAAGGGTGCGCGCGCGCGTATTTTCGGCGCGGGTTATTAGTTTCGTGACGCGCTAAGCGATTCGCAAAAGCTCAATCACAATTATTTATCGACGTATTAATTAACGCGACGACCGAACAACTGAATTTAATATAAACGTTCGCTTGCTCCCTCCCGATTAACGTGGCTACAATTTCGAATGGTGGATGCGGCGCCTAGTTATTTTTCGTTGGGATATCGAGAAAACGATTCTCTCTCGCTTCGTAGCGTAGCGACCGAGGCAGGGCCGCGATCACTAATTATTTTGCGTATCGTCGAGATCCGTGAGCGTGGGAGCCGTATTACGCGCGCATAATGAAACCCGTATTAACGCATTCGCGCACGCTGAATACGCGGAGCACACGTACACACGAAAATACGCGCGGCGGACGCCGCAGCGTAACCGTAGACGTGTAGACACAGAGAGCGCCGCGACGTCGAACGTAATATTCGACTAATTACAAATTTAATAACCTCGGTTCGTTGCCGGTTATTGCTAGGCCGCGACGTCTAAATGAATCGACTCTGCGCTGCGCACGTTTTATCTTTCCCGCCATTCGCTCTCTCTCTCTATCTCTCCCTCTCTCCTTCTTTTTCGCTTACTCTCGACGTTCTTCCCATTTGCCACTTTGCTTCCGGAGATTATCGACGACTTCGGGAAAAGAGGGGAAGAAAAAGAGTAAGGTGCCGATAGCGCGAAAAGAACGAGACCGAGTTTATCGCCGGCCGCTTCTTAATGGACTCGTATTACCAATTAAATTTTAATTATTATCAAAAGTGAAACGTTACGGTTCGAGTTGCGGTGCCCGATGTTTTCTCGTTTTATTATAATGGAATTCTGTTTTTCTCTTATTTCTACATCGCAACAGAAATTCTGCAATTTCTATATGCCTATATGATCGCAAGAGCGAAATATCCTGTTCCCGGCTCTTTTTCCGCCAGGGGAATCTTTACATTTTGCGGCTCGCAAGGCGCACACATAAAGGCGCGCTCTCCGTTTCCCTTAACACCGCCGTAACTTATCGCTCGTAGACACAGTATTTCTCTCCGGCTCTTTGAAAGCATTTTCTCATTAAAAAATTAAGGGTAGGGAAGGGGGCGGGATGAGCGGGCGGGAGTGAAAAGGAGCGAAGCGGTTGCAGAGGGACGAGCAGGGACGGTGGAACCGAGTTCGCGGTGCAGAAACGAAGCGTGGGGCTGAGACAGGAAGGTTTCGCGGCGGTCGGGGGTGGACAGAGGGGTCGGTAAGTGCTCTGCGGCTCCCAGATGCGCCCAATATTATGTTTAATGATATTAACTTCTTACTTAATGGTCCGCGGTTCGATTCGAGGTGCGAAAGAGGCCCCCCCGTCGCCCGAACCGCAGCTCCGTGGAAGCCGGAAAAAGTATACCCAGGAGAATAATTTGGCGAGTTGAGTAGAGAGAAAAAAAGGAAGAGGCGAAAGGCGAGAGAGAGGGATAGGACAAAGAGAGAAAGAGAGAGAGAGAGCGAAAGAAGCGGTTACGGTGTGGTGAAAGAGCCTAATCACTCGGGAGACGCATTTCTTTCTGTCTCTTTTCTCCCCCTTTCTCTCTATCTCTTTGTTCTTTGCAAAATAAATCCGCGACTACGCGGATGACCTCCGCTATAAACCTCGCGATAAAAGCCGCGGCACCGGCGGGCGTCCCCCCTCCCCTCCCTTTTCCTGCAGCCGAGGGTCGCTCTCGCCCCCAACTCTTTACGCGCGATTAAGAAATCCGCCTGCTCTGTCCCTTAGCTAAAGTGCTTGTACTACGAAACTTTTGTCGCCCGAAAATTATTTTCCTCTCTGTCGTGGGATGATGTTATTTCGGGAGGAGCAACCGAACGCTCGTTAATTATGTCTCCGACGCCGCTGATAATTGTTAATTGCGCCTATCTCGGATCCGCGTGGAATCAAGGGTGAATCTGACTTTTCTCGCGACGGAGAAAAGCGACACGGAAATCTAATTTTGTAGGAAACTTTTATCTCGCTCGTTTCCCGTTTACCGCGGCTTTACGACGGAAACGGTCCGATCCCGCAATCCTCGCTCGCTTCTTAATGCGAACCGCAGCATCGAGACAGAAATCTTAACGATTCCGAGTAAGCCGCGATGGACCCCGAGGGCACGAGTGCCAAACAATATAAAGCCAAGATTAAAAGTTTCTCGTGGCGCGGGAGCGTAAAGTCCCGGCGCCGCATTAACGAGCAACGACCTCGTAAACCGGAATGCTCGTAGGAATCGAAGTAAAAAAAAAGAAAAGGCGACGGAACTTGGCGAAACAAATTTGTCAAATTCGCTTTCGTTTCCTCGTCTGCGGAGACTCTTGAAAATATCTGTGAATAAATTTGATTAACTTGCGCCATTAGCGAGAGTAAAGTGAGATTGTTCTTCGCGGCATCTTCGTGGCAGGTTGAATAAATGTGAGACACTGCGAGAGGACGAAGCGATTAAGGACGATAATACGCGGTATACAGTGATACGACCAGAACCGTCGCGGTGTGAGACCCGGTACTTATCTTCCTACGCGGATCCCTTGCCCAGCGACTAGAATAATTATTTAATTAATACCCCAGCGGCGGAGTCCACCTCCACGCTCGGTCGATTTAAATCCCTCGGATTAATACAAAACCTTTCTTTTCTCTCTCTTTCTCTGTTGCAGGCTCCGCGAGGAGAGAAGCGACGCCGAGAGAGCGCTGGCTTTGGACCACAAACCCAGGGATCTCAGCTCGCACAATGGTAAGGTTGCGAATACATGCATGTTCGACATTTTAGTTTAATAATAACGATAACACAATGATAAATTAATGATGATGTCAGATTAACAATTTATAATCAATATCACTCGGTGGAAATTTTGATTTAATCTTGGGTTTAATAAATTTAAAAAAAGTAACAGAAAAAAAGGCTACGAGAATCAAAGCGCGGATAGAAAAAATATTACAAATCAATGTAGAATGATGTGACAAAAATGTTAAGCAAAAATGTTGATAAATTAAACCTAAAAATTTATTATTCAGTGTTGAATAAATGTGCGATGAAAAATGTTTTTGAAAAAATGTTGCGCATACGTCATCGACGTTCCTAGTGGATTTACAGTTTCCGTTTCTCGTATTCTTACCTGCCTCATCGCGGCGCCTGTCATCTGGATTAAGTTGGTAACGCGAGATCTTTAATCGTCAGAAGTCTCCCGGGCAACGGTCGATCGATGCGGACTCGAAGTCAAGCGGCGCAGAAAGATTTCTGACCGCGACACGGCGCGGCGGGTCCGAAAGTCCGATCGTGCTTGTTCTTTTCTGTATTTCTACCTTTTCGCTCTTTCCATCTGATCTATTTTTTGTGCGCGGGGCGGATGAACGATTGTCCCGGGCGTTTAGGATCCCGGAGATTAAGTTCGATATCGGGTTACATCCCGCCACGGTCCTGCCTCTCTTTCCGATTCCCTATAATATTATAATCCGTCTGATGGAACCCTTTATCTTCCGCGATGGGCCCACCTTCGCTAAACGACGCGTTCCGACTTTCTACTAGTTTTCGTCTTTTTCGACCCGTCAAACGCCGTCCGCTCGAAGATTAAACGTATTCTCATATTTTAGTGCGCGCATGCGATTATGTTTACGAGACCAAATTACATTTTACGAGACTCTTCGCACACCGGGATTCCCGGCCTGTAACGGCAGCTGGATATGTAGGAGTCAATTTAACGTAAAAGATGTACGATTCATTAGATCGCGCCGGGAAGTGCCGAGGAAACCACGACCCTTCTCTTTCAACGGCCAACGAGGTACATGGTGCTCGGGGCGCGTACGTGTGAACGGCCGAGGCGTCGGTCCCTACACCGCCATACATACGTAGCCGCTTCGGTACTCGTGCGTGTACTCGTGAGATCACGAGTGGCCCGGAGCAATGCGTCAGCGCCGACGACCCGCTGCCCAAACAGTATCTATCTATGTCAAGATTAAAATACTAGGATATCAAATACGCGCGCGCTTAGGCGCGTCGGAGCAAGGAAAAAGGGATGCGGAAAGAGAAAGAGGTCGGTCACCGGGGGAGGGGGAGGACGGGGGAAGCGAGTCGGGGAGATTCGGAAAGTGGATAGTCCGCTTGTTCTCGTCTAAACGCGGGATGCACGGCGGCAAATAAAATCCATCAACTTGTCAGTCCGGTCGATGGACGCGCTTCTCGTTCTTCTCGTAACCGAACGTTCTTCGGGAAAGATTGACGCTTTCCAGCGTTATCGCGCCGAGTAGATACATGGACGCGATATCAATCCGAGTCTGATATCAATTTTGTATATCATAGAGAATAATATATATATATATTTTTTTTGTTTAAAAATTTTTTAATATATTCATGTCAAATGAATTATATTTTACTAATAAAATTTTGGATATTTTTGCAGGCTCCTCCAACGGCCACAGCCCGGTTCTAAATCTCTCAAAAACAGCGGGAAGCGGAAGCGTGGGCGAACAGTCCGGAAGCGAGGCGGGCGCGTCGCATCGTTCTCAAGACGACGAGGAGGAAGATGACAATCTGTCAGAAGACCTCGAGGACGACAACGAAAAGGACGAAGGTGCGTTTTTAATTTTCAATCGCGTGCGACAGGAACGTTTCGCGCTGCCAGGCATTTATATCTCTGATAAAGTGGTCGGCTCGAAAGAGATCGTCCGCCCGGCAATCAATTAAAACGCAAGCGATAAAGCGCGGTTCTTTCAGCTTTTGATGCTCGACGAGAGTCGAAAGGACGATTGCGACTCGGCGAAGTGGATTCGTGCTCGTGAAATAATTATATCGATTTTGCCGGACACGCCGCGTTTAAAGACGAGTTCTTCTAGACGACTGGCAGGTCAGGCCCTCTCATCCATCATCTCTACCAAGAGAGCGTGAGGGACGCTTCGGGATTCGTCTTCCATCGTGCTCCGAGAAACGCGCCGCAGCGGTTGCCAAGTCGCATGTAGATCAGCGCGTTCTTAATCGTCTCGAATTAGCGACGAAGTAACATTTAACAGAGATGCCAAACGCAATTATTACTTCTCGATCGAGTTATCGGATGCATCAGATATCGCTGCGCGATGTCTGAATTAGTTTGATCTTCTTCGGCAGTTTTTTTTGCTGCAAAACGCGCGAGTATCCGCGCGAGAAGCGTCACTGTCGGAGCAAAGCGATCATTAGACTCGCATCTTCGGTATTTAGTTTCATTTTTCTAATGAAAGATGGATCGAGAGATAGAATCTCCGGCTTTGTATCGCCCATCCTTCCTCGCCTTGTTCCGGCGCTCCGATTCACCGAAGCGTCATAATCGTTTTGATTTCTAATCGACTCGACCATTGTCGCGCCGGCATGTTAATTGACCGGCCCAATTAATGGGCCGCCGCTCGCTAAGATCGCGATCGTCCGCCGCGTGAGATCGATTCCGTTCCACGAATACGTTTCCTGCGGAAAGAGATAAAAAAAAAAAAAAAAGGAAAGGAACGTGAAAGATGCGTTCGATCATCTCGCGTTGTCTTAATTAATTACGTTTCTTTTCGGGGCCGCGATTTAATGCCGCCGGGACCGCTGAATCGTTAACAGAAAGGAAAAAGCGAGTCCCGCACTTCGCGGAGCCCCGTCGATGATTTACGAGCGAATCGGGACATCGCGTTGCTCGACGGGCGACGACGCCGGGCCCGCAAGAATTCACAGAAATCATAAGACTGTCCGCCGTTCTTCGTGCTGCCAAAGGCTTGGGCGCGGGCCGGCAGCGGGCTGGAAAACACCAGAGACCGCCGCGTGCTTGCGAAATTAGGGGATCCCGCGTGTACCCCCGAATTAGTGGCCTCTTAAATTCCACGAAAGCCGCGAGTTAGACGTATAAATTCCGGCGCGGGTCCGTGTACGAGGGAGGGGGGGAGAAGGATCAAATCCGTGTCTCGCAGCGTGTCGTACGCAACGTGTAAACACATCTCTGCCCAGCGGCGCTCGCGGGTGATCGGCGTAGAACCCGATCGAACGCCCGTGGGAGTGTACACGCTCGTGGAATGCAGTTCTGATTTAATGAGACGCGCCACTATCTCGCTCTCGTTCTCGGAATCGGACTTCACCGCGAGTCACCGTCGAATTCGCATCTGGCGATCCTCGCCGAGCCCTCCGAGTCTCGATCATTTTTGATTATCACGCTTATTCGTTTCACCAGAACGAATGGCTCTTCTTTTCTCGCGCTTCAAATCATCCCGACTGCAATTGCACGGGACAACAATTTCCCGGATTGCTTGCTTTATTTTTTTTTTTTTTTTAGTCGCGCTATTGTCGAGAAGATTCGAAGGACGAACTCTCGGACGGAAAGATTCCGAGGGGACGGTGACTCTCTCCTGATAATTGTAATGGGCCGCGGCGAGAGATATAGACGCTCGGCCGTTGAAAAAGAGAGGAAAGGATCGCGCGTGAGGTTTTAGTAGGACGAGGAGGATCGAAAGGAAAGGGGAGGCGACGTGCTTCCCTATCAAAAGGTGCCGGCCGGCGGATCGAAGGCGCGCTGAGCATTAAGTCGGCCAGCGGCAATAAGTAACCGATTGCCGAGTGGCGTTGTAGGTGCGCGCAGATAATTAAAAGACGATACAATAAACCACATATCGTTGGCCATAAAGCAACCGAGTTGCTAAAGCCCACCGGTGTGGGCCGTGGTACCACGAGCGATCACTTAAGCTCGGTACCCACGCAGACATCTTGTCTCGCCGCCATCCTCCTCAGCAATAACCATAAGGCATCCTTTATTCCGGCGATCTTTCTCATTGATCTCGGGAGGGAACGAAGACCGCAGTCTCTTTGTCGCGCGACGGAGATGTCAATAGGCTTCGAGAACGTGTCTCCGAGAAGTGTCCCGAGCGATCAGCCGGCGAAATGAATCAAGGCGTCAAGCCTTGAAATTGGTCTCATTGAACATTTTTACAAGTCTGATAAGTAAATTATCGTCGCCTGAGATCATCCGCTATGATATTTCATTGTTTCCCGGTATTCCACGGCGAGATGCTAAATAGCCAGTCGGTCGGGACGCGACTAAGCGCCGTGTAGCGCTCAATCCGCTGAATTTAATTCGCCCGCGTTGACGTTAAATCAAAAAGTGGCGAAGGGTAACAAGTGGTCGTCGCGAGATTACGACTCCGAGACACGCACGCGATATAAGTCTCGTACGTCGGCCTGCTCCCTCGTTCAACGTTGTTCGACGATCGTGCGGCGAATTTATCATTGATGTTTTGCTCTTGGCAACGGCGGCGTTCGCGCCGGGGAGGGAAATCTCGCGCAAAATGAACCGCGCGCGCGCGCGCGCGTTACAGAATAGACAGGCGTTTATTTATCGCCGGGCAGCCGCTTCTCACCGCGTGGAAACTCCACCGGAAGGTCAAAATGGAAATTTTGCTTTCAGATCTGTCGGACGTGCCGGAGAACCTGCCGCTGCCGGCGCCGGGCTCGGAAAGTCCCCCCCAGGCCCTGAACTACTCTCAGATAGCTTCGGCGGCGGTCGCCGTGTCTCAGAGCGCCCAGGATCCCTCGGTCTCGAGTACGGAGACCCTGCTGAGGAATATCCAGGGTCTGCTCAAGGTCGCGGCCGATAACGCGAGGCAGCAGGAGAGGCAAATCAACTACGAGAAAGGTCAGTGGCAGGGCTTTCTTAAGACACTTGAGGGCGCTCTCCACAATTTCATTATCTTCCAGCTCTCCCAGAACCACATTAAGAGGCATTAGTCCCTGTCCCGTCGACGAGAAACCCGCCGCTCCTCCCCGCGCTCCCCTCTTTCACTCTCTCTCTCTCTGTCCTGTTCATTATCTTGCTCTATTCCAGCCGCATCTACCACGTCCTCTCTCTCTCTCTTTCTCACGCTTCAACTTTCGCGGTTGTCTTGTTCGCGCGCTAAGACCATGAATATACAAAATGGAAATGGTAACGTGTGCAGTCGGGGAGAGCTGGACGTTCGAAAGTGAGACTCGTAGCGTAGAGACGAGAAGACGAGCACCGCGCGTAAATAATATACGAATTTTGATTTTGATTTTCATGTTAGACTTAATATTAACTTCAGCCTCGATGTTATTTATTAATACTTCTCTTTGCGCTACGTGTTTTAATAACCATGCGCTAAACTGTGTATTAAATAAGATAGTAGTAATTCTAGATGCATTATTAGTGCGATATATGTCGAGCGTCCCTTCGCGTGGCGTTTCGAAAATCATTCCGCGCAAACATTTCTTACGAGAAGCAACATTATTTTTTTTCTCTGCTGAAATATCGCTTGCAAAAAATGTTGTCTTTGCTCGCTGGCAGGCGAGCGACACGGTGGATAAATTTTAATGTCGTGGATAGAGTCTGTACCGTACATCGGTTGCGATGAATGTAAGCAAGACCCATTAAGAACGAGTCGTTGCGACGCAAGATGACATGCAGCATATGACTTCTTTCTCATTAACGCTCGTGATTAATCGGCTGGCGTTATTATTAAATATCTTCGTCGCGAGATCTCTCGGAACGCCAGACGAAAAGAACAAGAAAGGGGGATCGGCCGTCGCGGAGTCGTCTCTCTCTCGTTAAAGTTTCTTCATAACTGAGATAGAATTAACTACGACATCTCGATGTAAATCGTCAAGTTGTGTATTCAACACCGATCGGAAAATATCATCGCGGCTCGATTGCGATGAGCGGAAAAAATAATTGCATTACGATAAAAAGGACGATAACGCCGCATTTGTACGCATGTATATCTATATATATTCAGCATTATGATTATAAACCAGTTGCTATTGCAGCCGCTAGTTGTTACTGCTATCAATATATAATGCGATAGTTATATTGCCGAAGCTCTATTGCTAACTGCGTGATGTAACTGTAAGAGACGAGGTGCGTCGCCGGTAAACGCCGATTCACGCACGTCTCTCGTAAATGGAATTATGATTAAAGGTATATACGACAAAATAGTCACCTCGATGTAAATAAAAAGCGCTACGTAAAACGACACGCAACGTCAAGCTGATTTCATAGCCGAGCGATTGCAGCTCTTCGGCGCGTATGTCGATGGAGAAAATCGCGCGGTAAGAGATGGAGAACATGTTCGCCGCGAGCCAATGATGCTTTCACACGAAATCCAATCTTCGAGGCAATTTTCCAATTTCGCTCGCGAACTGCAATCGCTCGGCTATATCCACTTCTGTTCTAACAACGTGCCACCATCAACCACCATTCGGAATTTCGTATTCGCGAGTTTCGCTCGGATTCATCCGTTATGCTGGAATTCGAAATACAAGCGCCCGTCTCTCTTGAAATAGAATCATAAAATTGATACAACGCAGATCATATTTCGTTTTCTTGGACATATTTCTTTTTCAAACATTAAACAGTTTTACGTTATCGCGAATGCGGAATCAAACTGTCACATAATTCAGCGTCGAATGTAGTCGCGGAATCGAGCGCGCGCATCGGATCGGCTCAAGAGGAACTGGCCGACGACGACGTATCGCAATCTCCAGCGGACCGCCGACGTACAAGTATCCCTTATCTGCGTTTTCGCAGGTTTTAAGTGGCGGATCCCCATAAACGCGCGTCCGATATCCGGCCGAGGCGGGCATCGGCCCGGAGAGTCGCGCGTCCCATAGCCGCGCGTTTAAATAAATTCCGAGGGAAACGTAACTGCGGGACTTTAATTACCCATTAGCCGATACAAAGTGTCATTTTCAGGGCCGTTAACTAATGCGTTTGCCGGGGCCTTAACGTTAGGAATGCCTGGCATCGCGACCTCGACGACGGCGCTTAAGCAGCTTCCCGCAGTTGCAGCGTGTTCGCCGACTCGAGCAGAGGGGATGGGAAGATCCATGAGCGCGGAAGGGGGAGAGATCCGATAAAAGAAATCGACGACGCTCTCATGGCTGGTGCCCCCTTGTCGCGTCCCCTCGCCTCTGTTGCCACTCTCTCGCCGCCACCCTCGCGACCACGGCGCCTTAACGAACAGTTCCTGGCGACCGTGCCTTCCTCGCTACGAAGCGCACGATCCACTTGCATAATTCGTACTTTCCTTTCAGCGCTAACGATATCACTAAGGTGAATTAAAATGTGCGGAAGAATCCTCGACTTCTGATAAAAGGATCATCGAGTGCTAATCGAGTTAGCATACTTTCAATTTCCAATCTAGTGTATTATTAATGTCAATCGTAAAAATCATTCAATCTGTTTATGCTTTGTTAATTGATAGATTTTTCTTTGCATCGGTAGTCCGCGATTCCTTGACCACGCAGCGAACTCGGTGTCGCGATCGAGAAATTTTTTTTCCACACAGCGACTCCTTGTTCGACCCAGTAAGCGTGTGGACTTTAATAGGAAGGGACGCGTTCGGTCGAGTGGTCGAGAAATCGACTCGCGTGGATATGTGAACACTAACGAGTTCATTTGGCGCACGTCGCGAGTCTGCGGCGTTAAGCTCGGAGTCTGCGGCGCGCCGGTTATTGCTGGTCGGCTTAACAGATTCCGCGCGCGCGTTCGTGAGCTCGCGCATACGACGCAGAAACCTCTAGCCAGCGCGAGCCGATCGACAGGCCGGGAAAAGGGAAGGGAAGGAGGAGGAGAAGGAGGAGGAGGTGGTGGATAAAGGGCGCTGCTGCGGTGTAGAAAAGGGAAGAAAAAAAAAAAGACGCGGCGGGCAGCCAACGACGACGACGACGACAACGACAACGGCGACGGGGCGGCAGGGCCGCAAGGGAAGTAGTCGGAAAGAGAGTAAGAGAGGCCCGATTTAATACTCGAGCGAGCCAGCAGCTCGTTTTACACCAGATGGTTTTACATACGGCCACTATCGTGTTACCAACCTTCAGCCGTATGGGTGCATCCGTATCTCCATCGGCGCAAGATCGGAGCGCCTTCGTACGTGCGTCGCATACACACACACACACACACACCTGCATACATCGCGTTTGCTCGTCGATTTTAAGCCAATCCGGACAGGATGCCTTCGCTGCGGAATATTATCGATATTATTCGTCTTTGTCAGAGGGCCTCTCACACGAGAACTCCTCGCTTCGCTTGCACCGTAGAGACGGGATTGAGGAACGTCGTCGTCGTCGTCGTTATTGTCCTAAAAAGAGCGAAAGATCGACGTGACGTTCTTGCAGGCACGTTGTCGGCGACCTGGAAGCGTTTATTTATCCCCCCCCCCCCCTTTCCCTCCCTGTCATCGCGCCACGGCTCGGGTTTCGTAAACGCGCTAATACATCGCGAAACACGTACGGAGGATTTTTCTGTGTGCGACGACGCGGAGCGCGAACACAGGCGTTCCGAAGATCGCGAGACGATCTCATTGCGAGAAGGACGTTCGTTCGAGCGTTACGCGTTACACGGTGTTTAACGTTGGCAGAATGCACGCCGGAATTGCCTTCGAATGCTCCATTTAATAGAATCGAAATGACCGAAGGCAATTGCGCGAATCGTTTTCCAGACGAACGGTTAAAAATATTGTCAAAACAATCTTCAATATCTTTATTCCACAGTTCTCCTTTCTATTATATTCTAGAATTTTTAATTAGAATCGTAATCAAACGTGTCAATAATCGTAAACTAAAAAGCTTGTAGAAAACTTTCTCGTACAGCTTAGTATGCTGTTTTCTCTTTAATTAAAAAAGATAACCGCAGCAGTTCCGAAAAAAAAAGAATAATTGTCAAACGGTCTCGTCTGTTTTACGAAAGACGCGCATTATTTTCATCTATCATTCAAATATTTACTCATTATGAAGCGAATAAGTACGTACTTCGGAGTCGATAAGAAGTATTTCATGAGAGAAAGACGGAGAAATAGAGAGAGAGAGAGAGAGAGAGAGAGAAAGGAAAGACGACCATCTTTCTCGCCGTCGTCGCCGGTAAGTTACATGGCATACGAACGACAATATGAGCCTGCCGAGATCCTGGCGAGGAGCCAGCGAGCACGGCAGCGAGGCTACTATCTTCGATCCTCGATGAGATAAGAGAAACGGAGGAGCCGTGGCGCAAGCGAGGATTATGTGTGCATCGTGTGTCCGGCGCGCGGGGGCCCTTACGGGCCCCCCGGTTAGGGCTGCTCGAGCGCGGAATATAAAGAGGGGATTGAGTTGTAGCCGCGAGTGGAGGATCTTATGTAGATTCCTTGTAGATCGTGCACCCGATTCGATCGCGATCGGCTCTGTGCCCGGTACCGGGTTAATTAAAATTGCAGGAGCTCCAACGTCTCCTTCACCCGTTCCCCTCCTTTCCTATCTCTTTCTCTCCCGAAACTTTGCCCCGCGCCCCTTTGTGCCGCTTCCTCCCTCTCTGTCCATCTTATTCTCCGCCACTTTCCGCGCTCGCCGCGAGCGACGTCCCGTTTTCTTTGTATCTCTCGCTCCTCGTCTTTTTTCCTCCCCCCCCCCTCTCCCCCCCCCGTCACCCTCTCCTTCATCCCGCGCCAACCGGTGGCTGCGGCGCGGCAACCGCACCTCGCTAACGTAAACTGCGATTTTCGGCCGCCGCCGCTGCTTGGGAGGCTTCTCACGTGAAATCCTATTACCGCGAGCGACGATGCGGCACGACGGAGAAGGCAGGATATGCGGCCGCTTGTACCAGCTATCGAGTAGGTATCTTGCGTTACGAATGAAACGCGAATTACCGAC